CCCCCCGCCGCTCTGCACAGTGTGGAAGAGCGAGAGAGAGAGAGAGAGAGAGAGAAAGAGAGCGAGAGAGGAGAAAAGAGCTCTTTCCTCTCGCAGAAAGAGTGCGATCGCGATAAGTACGTCGGGAATGAAGGGAGGAAGAAGTAAGACTCGTGAGCTATATCGTGTTAACTCCAAGCTAAATGGAGCAGCTCGTTTCGACTCGGGCTAAGAGAAAAAGAGCTTCCACAGCCGTGGCATTCACCAGGACCCGGGCGACCCGGGTTTTCCGGCTGACACTCGCACACACACACAGAGGCGCGGTATACACGGTGAATATAACGGCGGGTACACCGTGGGAGCAGCCGGGAGTTTCAGGCTGGAAGGACCAAAGGGAAAAGCCAACAAACTGTTGCGCCCTCCGTGAATCCCACTTAAACCGGCGCACCCGGCTCGTCGCGACTTCAAGATAAAGTGCCGTGGCGCTCGTCTACGCGATTTCTTCTTAATCGTATCGACGTCGCGGGACCTCCGAGGGATAATGCAACGACGAAGCCCGTCCTCGGGAGACCTCGCGCGAGGATAACGGAGCAAGACGTCTCTCGACCTCGCGATAAAAATATTTTCCAACCGACCAACCGACCGCGCGATATACACCTCTTCCTCCGCACGGGGACCGCGCTCGTCGGAAATGATATCTCGTCGGATTTTATTCTCGACGAGGAGAAGAATACAGATTGCAGCGAGTGAAAAGGCGGTCCCTATTTGTCAGTGGAAATAGCAGACTTCGAGGAAAAATCGGCTCGAGGAAAAATCGTGTACAAGTATGACAAAGGATATAAGAGAGAGAGAGAAAGGGGTGCGTTATAGCGGAAATGTATGGGATCGAAATTTATAGTATACGGATCTGATATATCGGATTATCATTACGACGTCACCGAGGCTNATATATATATATATATATATATATATATATATATATATATTTCAACTCTGAAAGTATACATATATATATATTTCAACTCTGAATTCGCATTTTCGAATTTACGAAAGGTATCCACATGATGTTCCGATATTTACTCCGATATCATGTAATAACACACATCTGTATGTTACGCAACAACCGGATATTGCGAGTGGATATCACAAGGGGATATCCGAACGAGAGTACTCTCTACTCTGCTGTGAATTGCGCGTTTTAGCGAATGTGAGAAATTTCGCCAACAGCCGCCGGCTCGTGTAGTCGACGCGTTACAATGCCGGTGCGCGATTGATGCTATTGTACTCGACCGTCACGTGAAAAATGTACTGCTATTACTGTCGGCCGTACTGACGAAGTGAACGCCGATTCAAGATGCCAGCCCGTTGACGCTTCAAAACGCGGGATGTCATTGATACGCTGCTACAGATAGATGGATAAAACCGTGATACCGGATCTGTCATATGTGGCGTACAATTTCGTTTTTCTCTCCCCCTGTTTCTCATTGATTCCGGCGATCTCGTGTTGATCCCTTGTATCGCGTTTAGTATGAAAGGAACTCGACACAATTATTTTATTATTATTATTATTTCTTTTTTCGAAAATGAAACATCGTTAAGGCTCTCGGATATTTAATGGCTGGGAATTATTTTTGACCAGTGAGAGCCGCACAAAGATGCTGGTAATGGCGAATAACGATTTTTTGCGGGAAGGATAATAATGTCGACGACGAGCGTAGAGAGACATTTTCCCAGCCGTAAATACACGTGGGGCGTTAGCTTCCTGGCCGGGGGAGCATTTTCCGCAACGCTACGTAAAAGAAATCCCATCCGTTTTACCGCATCCTCGTTCCCTGCGTTTCCTCCTATCGTGTCGAGGATTATATTTTACCCGATATATCTTGGCGCGTTCAGTATTTATATATTTCTCATTGTTTTCTTATATTATTATTATTAATTTTTCAGGTAAGGATGAGTAAAATTGTACAAGTTCAGCTTTTGTAAGCAGTAGCAGCAGCTGTAATACTGTTGCCTCGCTTATTAGCTTCACATTTTTCTATAGAAACTCTATCGTCTGGTTTGCTTTTCTCTTTCGTGACGAATAAAACTTTGGTTATTATTATTATTATCATCATCATCATCATTAAAAGAACACCACGTCCAACTGGTATGAAAGGGGAATTTAAATATGATGATAACGAGACGTATGTCGTCAAAGTCAGTTCGATATCGGAAGGTGGCTAATGCTCCACGTAGGTTTAGGATTGAGAAAATGTCTCGGCGCATGCAACGCCATTATTATCCCCCCGCAAGAAATTATTATTCGCCGTCACTTTTTTTAGTTGCATTTTGCACTAAAATTACGCTCAAATGAATTTGTTCGTTTTTAGAAACGTGCACCGGACATACCGGTGTTGAGCTCTTCAACCGTGAATTGCCGCATCGCGCAACAACAACTATTTTTACATTCGGAAACGATAAAAACAATACGAAAGACAACGTTACCAACGAACCGTTTCCGTTTTAAGGCAATGTTTTTTTTCTCTTTGGCTCAATATTGATTTGCCATTTGATCGTCGGTCATCGATGACATAGTGGTGTATAGTCAGCGGCATAAAAGATTGCAAACCTTTTTTTTCTCTCTCTCTCTCTCTCTCTCTTTTTTCTTTTTCCGACGAGTTTCACAACGCATCCGTATCCAGTGGAAGAGAATGTTTTTCAATAATTTCCAGGGTATAAATTCGCCCGTTGAGCGCCGGATGTGTTCTGAAGTTCGACGAGAGAGGAGCATCGTTATCTCTTCGCTACACGTCGTCCATACATGACTCGGTATATTACAGATAAAATACTGTAAACGAAGGAAAATTCGTGATTAGTCCTCGTCCGGCGCTCATGGTTCGAATCGACCCAAGTGAAAAATTAAAGTCCTACGGTTATATACGGAAACAAATTTAGTGGAATTTATCTGACAATGAACAGACCGAACGTTTTAGCCGAAGAAAGCGAGACTTCTCGTCGTAAGAATAACCGAATTCGGCTCCGGTAGGAAGCAGAAATTCCGTTTCCCTCGGCTAAAAAGCGCGTTTTCGATTCGTCCATTGTCGGGTAAATTTAACTGAATTTTTTTCCCGTGCAACTTTCGAATTACTGTACCCATAAACATAGAAGTAAGGGCATATCCGGGAAGTTGGCGGGTCTCTGCGAGACCCGGTGTATGCGGAACTAAGGGGTAAAGAGAAACTGTGCCAAGGGAGAATGAAGGAAACTCACTTTGAAGACCTCCCAGGCAGCGCTGAATGGCAGGACGGCGGTGCCGACCATTAGATCGGCGACGGCCAGGCTGACGATGAACATATTCGTCACGTTCCTCAGCTTGCTGGTGTAACAGACGGCCAGTATCACCAGGACGTTACCGACTATCACCATGACAGCGACGAACACCAGGACGACCAGGGTAACCAGGTTCCACAGGCTTGACCACTCGACGCCGTCGTACAAAGCAGCGCATGCGGTCGCGTTCAGCTCTCGCATATTTAACTGTCGCGGTCCTCGGCCTGTGCGCCCATGCTATCCTGTCGTGGGAATCCTCCGCGGAAGGTCGTGTACGTGAATGTCGAGGACGACGACGGCAGCGAGGAACTCGACGAAGGAACGCGCGGGGCATCTCGAGCCGCCATCACGCACAGGTCCGAGTTCTTCCATGCGGTTTCGCGCCGGTTCACCGACAGCCCGCACTTCGTCGTCGCTACTTTTTTACTGATCGACACCGAACCTCGAGTTCTCCCGCGCGGAAACGCGACACGAGCACAACGACGGACGCACGAGGACCCCCTCCGGTCGATTCGCGCGTTTCCTTCGACGAAGGTCTAGGAAAGCTCGCGAGGACACGTTTCTCTCGAGGATTTAATCTACCGCAATGCCGGCGCTTCGCGAAATTACAGTGACGTCCCTTCAGGACGGGTTGACGAATGAGAGCACAGTGAAAGTACTTCCTTACGTGTAATAACGACCGTACGTGTACGGTAACGACGAATGATTGATTAAAATCTTCCTTAATCTATTTTCTTAACGGTCCACCGGCCGGTCCGGTTTCAGAATTATCCTCGGGATTTCGCGCGCACAATTTTCCCACCGACTGTCTTAGGGCTTCCCCGTAAAAATGATCAGCGATTTCTTGAAGAGGAAAGATCGAAGAACGAGGAGAAGCGATGGTGACACGCGCTTTTTCACAACCGTTGATGCGTCAACCGTTCCCCCCCCCCCCTCCACTATCGGTTTATTTATTAAAATTTCCGTTTATTCTTCTCGCCGACTGTTCGTGCCCCGTCGGCCGATAATTAGAGTTTAATCACCGTGAATTATCGCCGATATTTCCGCGATCCCGGTCGGCTCGTTAACGCGCGACCGTCGAGCGCGTTCGACGCTGATAACGGCCGATAGGCGACGCTGCCCGGTGCATCCGGTCAATCTGGCGCTTTAATTTCGCGAACAACGCGGAAAGCGGAACACGTTGTTCCGGGTAATCGATAACACGCTCCGCTCCGCTCCAAGGTACGCTGTCGCTCGCTTTGCGCGCCTCGGATACCGTCTAACGTTACGCGGTGCCTCCGATCGGCGCCGTTTTAGACGGCGACAGTATCGAATTCGGGAGAGCTCGGATCCGGTGTTTCTCCCCCGGATCCGAATGTTCGCCGCCGGTCTCCCTTCCCCCTGTCCCGTCGCCGCACGTGCCGTATTTTCAAGTGCGTCTCGAATGCCCACGACGAGTCACTTCGGCCGATTATTCGCGATACTCTGGTAAGTCAAACTTCCTCGATCTCCTCGGGGGAACAATTCCGCCCGGTTTTTCAAGGCGTCTTTCTCTCTCTCTCTCTCTCTCTCTTTCCTACAATTGCTGAAATAATCGGCCGAGGGAAGCGCGATCCTCCGATTTATCGCTTTATACCGCTTCGCACGTGAGAACCGTATCGTCGGGAGTGGTACACTGCAACACGCGATCGTCTCGCCGGAAGCCACTACGTGAATGAAGTCGTCCTTAATCGCCCGCCAATGTAGTAGCCGTTGTCGTCACAGTCGTGGTGGCGCGTCGTCGCTCGGCCCACGTGCGCAGTTCCATTAGCGTTTTTCCGAAAAGGAAGCGCGGGCGTACGGACGATGCTACCTACCTACACGTACTTTTCCCTCCCCTCCCCTTCCTCGAACAGTCCGGCGTGCACTCCGTCTCACACCACTGGGTCGTCTTCTTCTCCCCACCCACTCACTCACTTGGCCGAGCCGCCCTCGCCTCCCTTTCTCGTTTCTCCCTCGTTTCTCGTCCTCCTCCCTCCTGTCGCTAAACGCCAAATATATTCCACGGGATCACACAAACCCACCCCTCCCCCGTTCGAGGGAGCCCGACCCCCCGCTCTATATATTACCTCAGCTGCACTTTTCACGCCCCCGTGCGCGCACGCACACACACACACGCCGCCCACGAGCTGATCGCGTATCAGCCGACCTATCCACCACCACTGTCACCACCACCACCACCACCACCACCCACTATCGCCGTTGTAACCGATACCCCTCCTCCCCCTCTCGACCTTTCGCCCACGCGCGAAGACGGCGCGCTCCTGCTTTACCGCGAAATCGAATTCGGCGGGATTCTTCTTCCTCCGCGCAGCCGTTCCTCCCGACGTTGTTCCGCGAGAAACCGAAAGCGGCGCCGCCTTTGTCGGGAGCAGTCATCGGCCGGTGTCCACCCCCATAGTTGGATCTCTGTCTCTCTCTCTCTCTCTCTCTCTCTCTTTCTCTCGACGATTCGGTACTTCTTACTTACGGGAAATTCTTCCGGGCGAGTCTCTTCTCCGTGTACAGAGATCGACGGCGATTTCGTCAAGTTTTTCGATGAAATGCTCGACCCTTCTATCCTTCTTTGGCTTGTACAAGTGGTATACTCGAACGAGAGGTTTTGCGAAATTTTTCCCGCACTCGGGAAATCGAAACGTGAAATTCGCGCACCTCTTGCGCGTCGGATCCTAGCCGTTTTTTGCTTATCTGCCCGGGTAATGACGGCGGAAGAACGGGATGACACGGTTTCACCGAACGACTTCACCGAAGAGGAATCGAATCGCGATCTCTCGCCTCTCTCTCTTTCTCTCTCTCTCTCTTGCGGAATAAATTCCCGGCTCGCTGCAGCTACTTAAGGACGCGCGACGATCTTCTTATCGGAGTGTCGTCGGATGAGAAGAGAAGAAGGAAAAGAAACGAGAGAGATTTTCACGTTTGAACACACACACGTACGTTTTTCCCGCACAAACATACACACACGATCGAGCCCGTTCGGGACAGATCACGCTGTTGCGATCGCGAGCGAGCCGCGACGAATAAAAATTGTTCCCCCGCTTGAGCTTCTCACACTTCTCTCTCGCGAGAACGCACGAAGCGATATCGGGCGATTCCTGCCACTCACTCGCTTACTCGCTTCACGGGGTGAGTCCTCCCACGCACTGTCGAATATTTCACGATCCTTCGTCCAGTGAAAATCCCTTATTCCCCGGCTGTCGCTTTTTTTTTCTCACTCGCGGAGTCTCCGTTACGACGTGCAAACGGGGGGTTGCTCGATGTGCTCGGCAGGAATATTCAGACGTGCGAATCGAATTCCTCGTTCTGTGCTCGGCGATCCTGCGAAGAGAATCACCGTGGAAGAGTGAGAAAGAAAGGATTAGTTATTTTCGCTCCAATAAAATCCCCCTGATTTTTGCCTCTCTCCTTCTCTCTCTCTCTCTCTTTCACCCTCTCTTTTCTTTTCTACAGAAATATTAATTACTGTACATTATAGTACTTGACTTCTTTCAATATCTTTCAATTAATTACTTATTTGTGCAATTCCTGGTGTTCCCTGGCCGAAAAATCTCAAATTGTTTTGTATGTTTTATGCACTTAGGGGGATTTTGTTCCGAAGCACACAATAAATGATACCTCTCTCTCTCTCTCTCGTAATTACGTCTCGCGAGGAATTTTCGCGTTTAGATTCTCCCTCCGTTTTCTCTCGGACCGTCCTTCGCGACGGGGTTTACGCTCGTCGTCGTTTCCGGCCTAAGGATCACGACCCATCGTCGATCAACGGCAGGCAGCGGACGGCAGGACACCGGGACGCGCGGTAGTGGCGGTCTTCGGCAAGGAAGAATGGAGATCCCTCGATTTGTTTCCGCGGCTGCCGCTCGGCCGTTCGTTCTCGTCGGAATCGTATCGGGCGATTGGAATAAGCGGCCGAGTCTGCCGGTGTATATGTGTATATGTGTGTATACGTGCTGTCCTTAACAAACGGAGGCTGCTCTCGGGTATCCGCTCCCCGGGTATCCGCCTTAAGTCTCGAAATCCCGATTCAGGACGCCCTACGCGCGCGCGCTCCCGCGCGCTCGTCCCTCAGGATTACCGGCGCGCAATGAATTTACTGTTACGTGGCCGGCTGGAAATTGCAATCGCCTTCCTCTGCAGCCCTCCGCGCGATCGAGGGAAAGGGGCGATCGCGCGATGCCCGTCTTCCTTTTCGGCGACTTCCTCGCAGTACGATCACGTCCCACCTGGAACGGCGAGAATTGAGTTTTCGGCGCAGTTCCGCCGGCGGTCTTTACCGTACCGTTTGTTGCCGCGTCCGGGAAATACAGCGACTCCCGGGGGTAGTTTCGATGCCGAAAATGCCAGAAATTCCGTACCGGATCAATTTCGCCGACCGACTTCGCGTATCTCCCCCTCTTTCTCTCTCTTTCTCTCTCACACTCGCATTCCCTCCCTATCTCGCCTCTTCCTCTCGCCGGCCGTTTTATTTGCAACGCACAGCCTCGAAATCCCCCCCCCCTCTCNTCTCTCTCTCTCTCTCTCTCTCTCTCTCTCTCTCTCTCTCTCTCTCTCTCTCTCTCTCTCGTAGTATAGCAACCCCGTCTACTTCTGCGAAAGTGCGTGCAAAAAACTTGATTTCCTCAAGCCCGACGATCGGACGATCGGGGGATCTCAGCGAGTTTCGAAATTTTCTTCCTTCCTCCCTTCCTTCCTTCCTCGCACCTTCTTTATCCGCTCCTCCGGCTTGCGTTTTCCTCCCCGACGATCCGACCGCGAACGACGGAAGCCTCGAGGACGTTGAATTCTCGAACGCGCGTTACTTCGCGTCCGGTAACGTGGTTCACTCGCGCGCGTTTCTTCCTCGGCGCTTTTCGTTTCCTCCGCTCCGTTGATTTCCGACCGGGCTTGTATATCTCTCGCAGAATGGAACGAAACGCGCTTCTGTCCGCGTCCCTTTAATTCGAGTTCGGCGGATCGAATCCTTCGAATCCACGAATTCGCGCGGGTATTCCGAAATTTCGACTTCCTCTTCTCTCTCTCTCTCGTGCTATCTTATTTCTTCTTCTTTTTCTTTCCTTCTCCCTCGACACGGTCGATTAAGATGTCCGACGAACTACCGATTACTCGGCCCTCGCACTCCCGCCCGTCAGTTCGCTACGTGAATTTTCAATTACTTGCGACCCCGCGACTCCCTCGGCGCGGCCGCCCGCGGCTCTTCTTTCTGCCACTGATCTGATATGCCGAATGAATTTCCAACGACCCTCCTTGACTCGGCTCGCGATTTATTTTCCCCCCAGTTCCACCGACGAATTCCCGATGAGTCCGGTCCCACGTGGCTACGGCCACCCTTCCACGTGCCGGATGTCCGATCGTTAGAGCTACCGGCAAGGTCGAGGCGCTACATTAATGTCCACCGCTCGAGGATCCTCCGTTGGATCGTTCTTGAGAAACGTTAGAGGAAACGGCGAGTTCCCAATACAGTTATTTCCGAAGCTATATTATTCTCTCTCTCTCTCTCTCTCTCTCTCTCTTCTTTTCTCTCTCTCTTCCTCTTCCTTCTTCTCGCGTTCGATTGACGCTTTGGACGGCTCGACCTTGACAAAATATCTTCGACGTCTCTTCGCCACCCCGAATCGAACCCCTTCAAGTCCGAGAATTCGCGCTCCGTCGACACGCTCCGGAAACTCGATTCGAGATAGTCGCGTTCGGCGAGGTCTCCGCCGATCACCGGCGATTTTCGCCCGTCACTGCCGAAAATGGACCGACGGACGCCTTCTCTCTCGTCCTTTTAACGTTTACGCCCGTCGCGTCGAACGTATATTTTCGCGGGGACACCGCTCGGAAAATCTTCCCTCCCTCCCCGACCTAATTCCCCCTTCCGGCGTTATATATCTCGCCGGTGTGCCGAGCCGGCTTGAATCGAATCC